TGTCCCTAGGTGAAGGCCCTGATTCTGGCTCTGAAGGGGAAGCCTCTGGTTCTGAAGTGGATGTGGCGGACGGATTTGACTTCACCCTGGTCCAGCCATTCGTTAAGGCCGTACGGCAGGCCTTGAGGTGGGAAGATGAAGCGTGTGAGCCGGATAAGAAAAGGCGTCTCTTCAAACACCTGAAGAAGGAGGCCCTAAGCTTTCCCTTCCTGATGGAGCTAAAGGAGATGATTACTGACGAATGGAGTCAGGCGGACAGGAAGTCTAACTTCCGTAACCGCTTTGCGAAGTTATATCCTTTCAAGGCGGATGATTTCAAAAACATGGAAGCAGCACCTGTTGTGGATGCAGCAGTTATGCGGTTAACAAGACATGTTACCTTACCCCTGGATGACGCGGTGTCCTTTAGGGATGTCCTGGATCGCCGCATAGATTTTGATCTTAAGAAGGTCTTTTCCACGGCTGGTTCTGGCTGTAAACCGGCCTTTGCCTTGGCCATAACTTCTAAGGCTCTAGAGGTATGGGCAGATGACACGGAATCTGCAGTGTTCAGTGATCTCAGTAAACCCGAGATACTGGAGTCCCTCAGGAATATTAAAATGGCGTCCGCGTTTTTTGCGGAGGCAGCCATTGATGTGCTACGCTCCCTCGCGAGGGTAATGCTCCTCTCAGTTAATGGCCGACAGGCCCTGTGGTTGAGGCCTTGGGTCACTGACCCCACCTCCAAGCAAGGGTGGTGTCGAATTCCCTTTAATGGCCAATCTTTATTTGGAGATAAACTGGACTCGGCTATTTCGAAAACTACCGGGGGCAAGTCAGGCTTTCTACCCCAGGACAGGCGCCTTTTAAGGCAGAGGAATGCTCATTTCCGGGGCAATGCACAGGGATCATTTAAGGAAGCAAAGTCCTATAAGCCGGGGAAACAGTTTCGGAGGCCATGGAGGCCCTCTTCTACATTTTCCAAATCAAAGAAGGAACCCGCTACATCTACTTAGGATCACCAGCAGTCCTTTTTAAAGGTCGCCCGCCCAGGTCCGCCATGTGGGGGCCAGATTGGCCAGGTTCGGACGGGTCTGGGCGGACAATATAAAAGACCGGTGGGTACTAAACACAATCATGCGGGGACATTCGTGGACCTTCCTTCATGTTCCTCGTTCCTGCCCTACTCATCTGCCAGGCTGCAACATCAGACGCACAGTCCTGTGGGCCTATGTGAAAACCCTAGTGTCCCAGGGGGCTTTCAATTCGTGTGCCTTCCCTTTGGGCTCACCACCTCTCCCAGAGTATTCACAAAGATCCTACTGTCCCTAGTGGCCTTTCTCAGAGAAAAAGGCATCAGGATTCATCACTATCTGGACGACATCTTGCTTCTTTCTCAAGATCGGGAACGCCTATTGGCTCTACCCCCGTTGGTGTTATCCACCCTCGAAAGCTTCGGTTGGATCATCAACGTGGAAAGAAGCCATCTGTGCCCTACCCAAGACTTGGTGTATCTAGGGGCAAGGATAGATACCATGCGGGCTTCCGTGTCTCTTCCTCCGGAGAAGCTACCTGTTGTCTTTCAGAGGTTGTCGACAGCTGCCTCAGCGACATCCCTCTCCGCTGCCCAATGCCTCGGCATAGTCGGCACGATGGTGGCAACCATCCCGATGGTGAGGTGGGCCCAATGGAGGTCCCGGCCCTTCCAATCATGGTTCCTAGCGCATTGGCGGTCGGAGTTCCTGCACCAGTTGATTCGGGTCTCCTGCACGATGAGGGAGAGACTCCGATGGTGGCTACACCAACCCAACCTACTCATCTGTCATTCCCTGCTGTCAATCCAGTGGATTGTGAAATTTTCGGACGCGAGCGAGTCCGGCTGGGGAGCGACTTGCCGGGGTCTCTCAGCTCAGTGTCGTTGGCACTTTCCCATGAAGGGTGTGATCTCCAATGTACTGGAGTTGAGAGCCGCCTTCCAAGCTCTCCTGGCCTTCCAGTCTCTCATCCGGTCTCACTCGGTCCTTCTGAAGATGGACAATGTCACTGCGGTGGCTTACGTGAGAAAGCAAGGAGGGACTCGCAGTCTGGGGCTTCTCTCAGAAGTTGCACCAATTATGTCATGGGCTCAGTCCAATCTCTTGAACCTCACTGCCGTGTATGTACCGGGTCGTTCCAACCTTCAGGCGGATTACCTCTCCAGGACTCGCCTCTGTCCCAACCAGCTTTCCAGAGGTTAACGAAGTGGGCCTTTCTTCCCCAGATAGATTTGTTTGTGATGCCGGAGAATGCCAAACTCCCGAAGTTTGTTTCCAGGTTTCCATGTCCCCAAGCAGTGGCGTCGGATGCAATCACCTCGAAATGGACATTTTGGACGGCGTACGCCTTTCCACCCATTCCTCTCATCGTCAGCTTTTTGGAGCAACTCAGCGGGGAACGAGCCACGGTCTTGGCGGTGCTGCCCAACTGGCCGAAATGCCCTTGGTATCCCCTGCTGCGGCAGCTCGCTGTGGGGGACCCCTTTCCGTTGCCAATGTCGAGAGATTTGCTGACCCAAGGTCCGCTTTTCCATCCCGCTCCCAACAGACTATGCCTGACGGCATGGATCTTAAAAGGCAGCAGATGAGGAAGCTGGGGTGCTCAGAGGCAGTGCTAAACACCCCCCACCCCACAACAGCGTATGGGTGAAATTTGTGGACTTTGCAACGCTTCACAGTTTTTCTCCGGAATCCCCAAGTGGGCCATAGCCTGGATTTTCTGCAAAAGGGCCTCGAGCTGCACCTGAGCCTTAGAACATTGAAGGGTCATGTTTCTGCCATTTCTGCTTTCACGGGGATCTGATGGGCTACGGATCCTCTGGCAATTAAATTTTTCAAAGCAGTTCTGAGAGTCCAGCCTCCTCGGAAGCTGTTGTTTCCTAAAAGGGACCTACCCTTGGTCCTTGACTTTCTAGCCTCTGCGGAGTTCGGGGACGGCCTGTCTCTCTGGAAACTTACATTGAAGACCGTCTTTTTGGTGGCTATCTCCTCGGCTAGGAGGGTATCCGAAATTGTGGCCCTAGGATGCAAGGAACCTTTCACCACTTTCTTGGCAGACAGGGTGGTAATGGTGCCGATGCTGGGATTCATTCCAAAGGTCGCTTCCTGCTTTCATATCAATCAGGAGATCATTCTTCCCTTCTGTGACCCCATTGGGGGTGATCAGCTGGCTCGCTTGGGCGTGGGTGGTACCTTGCGAGCCTACCTTGATGCTACAGTGTCCTTGAAATCAATTATGTATTTTACAGGTTTCTTTTGTGTCTAGTATATGCACGTTATAATATGTACAATGTTCCCAAACAAAAATCTAATTCATGGAAATAATTTTGTTTGTTCAGAAAAAAAAGTCAAAACAAAAATGTATATCTTTCTCTTTCAATTTTTCTCATTACTAAGGTCAAAAATGATTATCGATTAGACCCCCACTAATCATGAGAAAATTGACGTCCAAGAAATGTAATTCTACTGATGTATGGCCAACTTAAGAAAACAGTGAACAAATCACATAAGCAGGACATAATATTTTCTGGGGTATTCTGTGCAAAAACAATGTTTAGAATGCCCAACAATGTTGTCATGTATGCAAAGGAGAAACATTAAAATTTTATGGTATTTTTTAAACTCAAATGGCTGCAGAAAGTTGGATCACTTGTTCGTAATACCAGCTGGTCCCAGGAAAGGCTTGCGAGCCTCGACTAGAACTATCTCCACCTGGATGGTGAAGGGGATTACCTTGGCGTATGGAGCTGCGGGGTTGGCAGTTCCTGGGCATACGACGGCCCATTCGACCAGAAGTGTCTCGACTTCGTGGGTGGCTATGAGCGGTGTCTCACCGGAGATGGTCTGCAAGGCAGCTACGTGGTTCTGTTACTACATTTATGCAGCACTACTGTATTGAGCCGGCGGCTTTGACTACGGTCGAATTCGGTTGTAGAGTTATTGCCTCTTCCTCTGTTTGCATTTAAATCACTAGCATTCCTGCCCTAGTGTTTGTTGCGAGTTATTTCCCACTCGTGTGCCGACATGGAGCAGTCAGGGAAACAGGAAAATTGTATTTTATACTTACCGCAATTTTCCTTTCCTGACGGCTCCATGTCGGCACAATTTCCCGCCCAGTCAGGAGTTGCTAGATATCTAACGTATTGGCTGGGGGAGGCTCAAAAGTATGAGCTATTGGTCCTATCAGATTGGGGGGCGGAGCCTATAGCCACTCGTGTGCCGAAATGGAGCCGTCAGGAAAGGAAAATTCCGGTAAGTATGAAATATAATTTTCCTGTGTCAGAGCATTCCATCTTGTTGTCATTGAGATAACTAATTTTGTGCAAAAGCCCTTAAAAATTTCATCCAGACCTGCTATTTAAATGAAATCAATTATGTATTTTACAGGTTTCTTTTGTGTCTAGTATATGCACGTTATAATATGTACAATGTTCCCAAACAAAAATCTAATTCATGGAAATAATTTTGTTTGTTCAGAAAAAAAAGTCAAAACAAAAATGTATATCTTTCTCTTTCAATTTTTCTCATTACTAAGGTCAAAAATGATTATCGATTAGACCCCCACTAATCATGAGAAAATTGACGTCCAAGAAATGTAATTCTACTGATGTATGGCCAACTTAAGAAAACAGTGAACAAATCACATAAGCAGGACATAATATTTTCTGGGGTATTCTGTGCAAAAACAATGTTTAGAATGCCCAACAATGTTGTCATGTATGCAAAGGAGAAACATTAAAATGTTATGGTATTTTTTAAACTCAAATGGCTGCGGACTATATCAGAAATGTAATTTTTTATTAAATATCAAAATGCCTTGTGCAGCAGTTACGGTATATATGTTATATAATTTATTTTAAAAAGGTAGACTTTCTTTATGCATTTTACAGAAGTAAAGTTATTGTACACATTTAAGTCTGGTTACAGAAAACAGAAAAGGTACATATCCAGGTCCAAACAGTGTTTCTATAGAAAAGCTATACTCACTTTTTCCCATGAGACTGTGAAATAAAAATCTATCTTTATTTTCAAGGGACTGAAGGAAATATTTACATGATTCTTCTCCTTTATTAAGAACGGATGTAATCAATCTTCTTGCAACCTCTTGAGCCACTGGGTTAGAAAGGACATAATTCATCTCTTCTAAGGTGAAAATTTCTGTTGCATACAGGTCACAGGCAATTTGTTTAGAAACTGTGTTGTTGATTCTCTCTGTTAGGTCAGGAAATTTGGATCGGATAATATCCACTTAAAAAAAAAAGTATTGGTTAGTCCCGAGCCATAAAATAGAACATGTTATTTACAATTTCACTCTGCTCTCTTTATTTCAGCATCTTTGAGATGCTCGCACACGGCTTAATTCCAGGGAGATATTATCACTTTTCCAGCATTCATAATGCAGTGAAAAGTCTGCGTCTGCACTGAAGTGCATAAGGTTAAAAATACTGTGACTATTTCTTAAAACAGAAAATTAACCACTACATCTAAGAACTGGCAAACTGCAATATATTAGATTTTTGTTATTAGGTTTACATATGCTTTAACCGCCTGAAGACCAGGTGTTTAGACCCCCTTCCTGGCCAGTCCATTTTTCAGTATTCAGCGCTGCAGTACTTTGACTGACATTTATTTCGTCATGCAATGCTGTACTGAAATGAATTTTATACCATTATTTGGGGACAGATAGAGCTTTCTTATGCTGGTATTTAATAACCGCTGGGGGTTTTGTTTTTTACTATAATAAGGAGAAATTACTGAAAATTATGAAAACAAAAAAGTTTTTTTTACATTATGTTATAAAACAACTAATATTACCCACTTTTTTGGTAAAATATAAAAGACGGGGTCACGTCGGGTAAATAGACACCAAACAAGTCAAGCTTAAACATTGCGCGCACTCGCAAAAAACTAGCATACCCAAAATTGGCCATAAGCGACGCTTTAAACGCTTTTACAGCTCATCAGTTTAGTGTTATCAGTGATTGATGGCCCTAGAACTATTGCTCTCATTCCGACGTTCGCGGCGATATGTAACATGTGCGGCGTAATGGGCGCAATCGTCGTTTTCGCAGGTATGCGCACCTGACGCATGTTTACATGCGTGTATTGTTTTTTTACATTCTTTTTTATGTGTAACTTTTAAAAAAATTGGGGGGGAAACTTTAAATTTGTTTTCAATTTTTTTTCCCCACTTAACTTTATTGCTATCACAGAGGGGGCTGATAAACCCCTCTATGTGATAGCAAAAGAGGTGACAGGTCCTCTTTATGGAGACATCAGGGGTCTCCAAGACCCCTAATGTCACCTAGGACCCCCCTGAAGAAGCTGATGAAGCAGAGATCTGCTTCATCAGCTTCTCTCCAGCATCTGAAGCTGGAGAGTGACACGAGAATGCGGAAGTGATGTAATATACACCACTTCCGCATTCTGTCAGCGGAGAGGGGACCGGAGGGAGGTCGTGAACCGACCTCCCTCTGATCCCCTGTGACAGAGGCAGTATGCTGGTCCCAGGCTCACACCGGAGCCCGGGACCAGCTTGACAGCGGGAGGGGGGAGCCGCCCAGCACAGGACCTCATACAAGCAATCGCTTGTATAGTAACAGGCATCGCTGCCTGTTTTAAAATAACCGGCATTCCCGCGCGTGCCCGAGCGGGTGGATGTAACAGGACGTGTATACATGCCCAGTTACATCCAAGAAGCTCCCGGCCGGCCGTGTATACACAACGGCCGGCCGGGAGGTAGTTAAAGCGGACCTTTACACTCAAAAATCTAATTCTACCAATGCATTCCTATGTGTATGATAAAAGGCATTTTTCTCCCCTGAGATGATCTGTATGGTCACATGTCTAGTCACATGTGGCAGAAATCCAGGAAGTAAAAAGGGAGGTAGTAATCTGCCCTAAGTAAACATGGCTACTGTCAGAAGACTGGGAAATAAAAGAGATATAAGGTATGTAAAGAATACAAAGCCTGCCATTATCTATACGTATGTGTTTGTAGATTGTCATTACTAAACAATTCTAAAGGTGTGTTTGTTGTTATTTTAAAGATATGGGTAAAGGTCTGCTTTAACGAGTACCTGTCACTACTAATATGCTATCATATAGGGGACTTGTAATTCCCCCATGTGATAGCAATTAAATAAAGTAAAAGAAAAAAAGTTTAAAAAAATGTTATTAAATAAAATAATTTTTTTAAAGTCCCCCGCGAGCACATGTGCATTAAAGCAAACACGCATCGGGTGCACCTACATAAGAAAACGATGATCGCGCTACACATGTTGGGTATCGCCACGCACGCCAGAGTGAGACCAATAATTCACAGATATCTCTAAACTGATGACCTGTGGGATTTTAAATCATTTCTTATGGACAATTTAAGGTTCCATAGTTTGTCGCCATTTCATGTATGCAATTTTATACCTGGGCATGTTGGGTATCTATTTACTTATTGTATTATCATCTTTTATATTTAAGAAAAAAAATGGGTATTACATTGTATTTTTGGGAACTAACATAAACTTAAGTGCATTTTTTGCAAACTTTTTGGGTATGATAAAAAGTTGCGCTAAATTTGCAACTACCACTATTTTATTCTATAGGGTCTTTGGTTTCATAAAATATATAATGTTTTGGGGGTTTCAAGTAATGTTTATGCCTAAAATGTGGATTATAACAGGTGTGCCAAAAAAAAGGCCTTGGTAGCGAAAGGTTTAAAACAGAACTTAATTAGCCATTACTGCCCTCATTAAGAAAATGACACTTGGAGCCTAAAACAGCTACAAGTAAGCATGTTCTTTTCTGGCCAGACAAGGGATTACTTCCCTGAGATATATACATTTTTCTGCTGCAGCTGAGGCCAGATTCTGTATGAGAGGGAGACGGATGCCATGCTAAAAAAAAAGTCAGTCAACATTCTTCCAACACAAAGAGAACCTTCCTTCAGCCAAAGAGCAGACATTTTAAAAAAAGTAACAGCAAGCAGAAGAGTATTTCAGGGTTCTAATACATATTTTATTATACTGTATATTATGGGTTTGTTTTTGTTTTTTTTTACTTTTCAAAATATTTTATTGGTTTTTGACATTTTTCCAAAGAAAAGAATGTAACATTAATATATAAATGTTTACATATACCTACATTAATGTCTTATGCGTGTACATTAAATAACATAACAAAACTGAACTGACAGTCTTGGGCCGCCGACAGTACATGTAACATTAGTTTGAATTGTGGGGTAGTGAGACCAGACGATTTAACATTAAGGAGAGCTTCCTGTGGGGCTGGTGAGATATGTTTGTTCATTAGGACCGAAACAATCTGGAAGACCTTGCGCCATAATGCGGCCACAACCGGACACGACCACCACATGTGGAAATATGTACCTTCTTCGCCACATCCCCTTGTACAGAGGCCATCACAAGCCGGCACAAAGTGTACCGCCTGTGTGGGTACTGTATACCAATGGAGAAGCACCTTTTGGTTGGCCTCAAGAGTCAGTGCATTTTTGGAGCATGACTTGGTGCTTTCCCATATTTGAGACCAGGTGTCTTCATCAACCGTGAAGTTGAGATCTGCCTGCCAGCGGTCCATATACATGTGGTGGGGCGGGCCTGTAGCGGTTATTAGGGAAGGTACAATTGTGAAATCAGACCTGGGGCATGGGGGTCTTGATTGCATACTCTTTCATATGAAGTCATGGGTGAGGCGGTTATTGGGAGTTTTATTGTGATTGGATGAAGTGTTTCATTTGGAGGTATGTTAATATTTCAATAGAGGGGAGGTTATATTTAGATTGTAATTCTGGGTATGGAATGACTTGGTTTACGTCTATGAGTTTGTGTAGGGTCGTTACCTTATTTAAGGCCCAGTTTCTAACCGATGAGGGGGATTCAAGGCCCGGGAGAAACATAGGGTTCCGGAGTATAGACAGTAAGGGGAGATGTGATGAGATAAGTCCACTGGAGTATTTTACCGAGTTCCATATCTTGAGGGAGTGCCGGGTGATTGGTGAGGAAGGATCTGGCATTTGGTCTTATCCACAGGAGGTTGTCTATGACAATGGGGTCGCAGTCCATCGCCTCTAGGGAGACCCACAAATGTGACTCTCTAGTAGCATGATATTTGGTAATAGTAGCAATTTGTGCTGCTTGGTAATATTTTTGAAGGTTCGGCACTCCCAAACCTCCTGCTGGCCTGCTGTGGTACATCACCGCTCTATGAAAGCGCGGTTTCTTATTAGACCATATAAATTTAAAGATCCTGTGTTGGAGTACCCTCAAGACATAAGACTGAATAAAAATTGGTGAGACTCTGAAGGGATACAGTAACTTAGGTAATAGGGTCATTTTGATGGCGTCAATTCTCCCCAACCAGGGAAGGGGGTATGTGTTCCAAATTTTCAACAAATTGGTGAGTTTAGTAATCAGCGGTGGATAGTTAGCAGCGTACAGGGAGGGGAGGGAAGGGGTGAGGTGTATTCCCAGGTAGGAGATAGAGGTTGGTTCCCATTGAAAGGGGAATCCCTTTTCGAGTGGTGGTATGAGGTGTGTTGGCACGGATATATTAAGTATTTTTGATTTCGCTGGATTGACTGTCAGACCCGATAGTTCTTTAAATGTATCCAAGAGCCGCATTAGGTTGGGGAGAGATATTTGTGGATTAGAGATGTAAAGCAGGATGTCGTCTGCAAAGAGACAGAGTTTGTGGTGCTGCCCAGCCACTGAGATACCTGTGATGTCGGAGTGTGTCCGTATTAGTGCTGCTAGGGGTTCAATGGCTAGGGCAAATAAGAGGGGAGATAAGGGGCAACCTTGGCGTGTTCCTCTATGAATTTGGAAGGGTGTTGATTTATAGCCCGCATATTTGGCTGACCCTAGTGGTTGTGAATAGAGTGTCGAGATCCAGGTGCAGAATTCCCTACTGAATCCCCAGTGGCTCAGCATGTCAAGGAGGTAGGACCATGACAAGGAGTCAAACACCTTATGCATATCTAGGGATAGAAGCGACGGAATATTACGTTTCCTGGCTATGTTTATTAGAAGGCAAGTTCTACGAACATTGTCTCCAGCTTGAAGGCGTGGAAAGAAGCCTACTTGGTCCTTGTGGATAAGGTCCCCAATTAGTCCATTTAGTCTGGTTGCAAGAATTTTAGCTTTTTATATCGGTATTCAGAAGCAATATTGGTCTAAAGTTCAACCAGTTGGTATTGTCTGAATTCGGTTTCGGGATCATACATACTGTGGCCGTTAAGGATTCCTGTCTGAACCTACCACCCGTCCGGAGGGTATTAAGTGCATCAGTGAGCAGTGGGATCAGTTGTTCGCAAACATTTTTTTAATAAACTGCCGACGAAGCCATCTGGGCCAGGTCTTTTGTTGGGCCTGTACTTCCTCGTTTGATATTGGCCTACCTAGTGAATCACGTTGAGGTTCTGAAAGGGTCGGAAGTGCCAAGTCAGCTAATGTTTGTGACATTAAGTCTTTATTCCGAGTTTCGTGGGATTGGTATTGCGCAGATAGTGCAAATTCCTGAACTATTTTTTAGTATTATTAATGGTTATGTATTTCGTGAGAGCTGCTTGTATAGTTGAACACACATTATCGTCTGTTAAAAAGGAGTCATTCAGAGACCATGTGCGATCGACTGATTCTGACCAAAAAGAGGACATGTAAATTATAACACCTTGATGGTCTGTCCATGAAAAGGGTTGGATGGTGGCTCCAGTAACTGATGGTAAAGTGGCGTGTGAGGTGAAGAAATGATCTATCCTAGAGGATGTCGCGTGGATTCGAGTAGAAGGTATATTCTCTAGAGGTCGGGTTTACTTCACGCCAACAGTCCACTAGTGCGTGTTGGGACAGTAACAGACGGAAGGCCCTAAATGTGTCTGAAGGTGAAACCACTGTGTTGGAGCGGTCCATACGTGGATAAATAGTTAGATTTGAGTCGCCACATAGAAGGAGAGTGCGCTTTTGATGTGCAGATATAACGGAAAGCAAATGTCTAAAGAAAGGGAGTTGATTGGAGTTAGGCGCGTAATACGTGACAATGGTGGCTTCCACGTCGCGTATTGTTCCTATTAGGATTAGATATCTTCCGGAAGGATCTGGGATTTCCCTCTGGAAAACAAATTGTGCTGAGTGCCCAAAACCAATCAGTACCCCTCTGTGTTTAGCGTTTTTTTTTTAATGAAAGCAGCAGACCTAAGTTTTTAATGTTAATTATGGATTTTGCAAAAGCACCCAGATTTGAGGCTTTAAATGGAAGGGTGGCCCAAAGCTAAAGTTGGAGCACATTTTGCATCACATGGAGCTATGGGTATTGTAAATCTAGGTCTCTCTTTCTATCTTTTTAATATAGAGAAAATATAATAAAATATATTCTATAGAAAATAAAATATATACATGGAAATTCTTAAAGAGAACTTGTGCTCATATGAATCTCAATATTAGGTCTTTAAATACTTTTTTTTGGAGTAGTACTCCAAAATCTGAAAGATTTATATTTGCCCTGTTATTTAGCAGGGTTCTATATCAGACCATGCTATGCAATTAAGACCTCTGAGACAATCAGCCAGTGGCTGAACTGCGTTCCCAGATCGGGGACAGCTCATCTTTTGAAATATATAGGAAGGTTTAGATTTGCTAGACCTTCATAATGTACTTGCCTCTGATATCTATTGACTTCTTCAGGGCTGTAGTGTGCTCACACTGCATTTCCACACCTAACCTGAATACCAATGTTTAAATTGAGGTCAAACTATTCAACCTGCATCTGATCAAATATTCTGTTCATCTCAAAACTGCCTGGCTACCAGGGCCGGACTGGCCATAGGGCAAACCGGGCACTTGCCGGACGCAATCAACATTGGGGCCTGTTGGTGGTCAAGTGATTGGGCTGCTCAGTCTAAAATGCCCGGGCCTATTTTTAGTCCAGTCCGGCCCTGCTGGCTACTTTATATTTTGAACTGCTTTTTGGATTCAGCTTGGACTCAGATTAAGTCTGTCACCTGCCTCAAATACCTGCCTATTAGAAAATGTTCCTGCTCTATGATTAGGTACCACATTTGGTTTTCCTGTTAGTCAGCTGTCACTGCCTAGGCTTTTACGTGCGTTTTGATTTGGTGTGCTAGCAATCACATCATCAGTGACTCTGATGAAGACCTGACACATTGGGAGAGTTTAGTAACACTATATAATTTAAATCCTTTATGAAAGCACTGCACAATTATAATTTAAGACTAAATAAAGCCTGATTCAA